TTCCCGGGAATTCTCCCTCCTCTTCCCGGGAATTCTCCCTCCTCTTCCCGGGAATTCTCCCTCCTCTTCCCGGGAATTCTCCCTCCTCTTCCCGGGAATTCTCCCTCCTTTTCCCGGGAATTCTCCCTCTCGTTTTCACCCCTAATTCCCGGAATTTCCCGGAATTTTCCCGTTTCCCAGAAGAAGGACCCGGCGCAGTTCCTGCAGGTGCACGGCCGCGCCTGCAAAGTGCACCTGGACTCTGCCGTGGCCCTGGCAGCCGAGAGCCCCGTCAACATGTGAGCCTGGAACGGGAATTCCCGCCTGGAATTCCATGGGAACGTCCCTGGGATCGCCCCCCGGGGCCGCAGAAATCCCGGGATTCCCAGGGGTCGGAATTCGGGCAAATCCGGGCGGGTTTGGAGCCGCCGCTCCCGTTTTTTTGGGGAGGGGAAAGGAGGGATTTCGCTCCTTTTGGGGATAAATTTCATGGAATTATTTCTGGAATATTCCTTGGATCATCCTCCCGTGCCTGGAGAAATCCTGGGATTCCCGGGGATTAAAATTTGGGCAGTTTTGGGCAAATCCGGGGGGATTTGGAGCCGCCGCTCCCGTTTTTTTGGGGATGGGAAAGGGGGGATTTCGCTCCTTTTGGGGTTAAATTTCATGGAATTATTTCTGGAATGTTCCTTGGATCAACCTCCCCCGGGGCTGGAGAAATCCTGGGATTCCCAGGGGTTGGAATTTGGGCGCTTTCAGGCAAATCCAGGGAGAATTGAGGGGTTTTTTTTGGAGTCATCTCCCATTTTTTGGCTGTTGGAAAGGAGGAATCCTGCTCATCCCAGCCGGAAAATTCCACAGAATCCCTGGAATCACCCCCAGGCCTCGGCAAATCCCAGTTCTTCCACAAAACAAAATTCAATTTTTAATTAAAAAATTTAATTATTTTTAATCTATTCTTCCAAAAATAATTCAGCTTTTTTTGGGTGAGAGAGGAGCCACTTTTCCCATTTGTTTTGGGGTTTTTTTTTTTTTTTCCTGAAGAAAACGAGGAAAATTCTGTCCAAATCCGGGACTTTTCCCATTTTTTTTTCCCGGCAGGATGCCCTGGCAGGGGGACACCAACAACATGATCGACAGGTTCGACGTGCGAGCTCACCTGGATTTCATCCCCATGTACACCCCGGCCCTGCTCAGCCCCACGTAAGATTCCCAAAAAAATTCCCAAGGAATTCCGGGTTTGGAAAGAAATCCGGGTTTGGGAGCCAAAATTCCCATTTGGAGGCGTAAAATCCCTGGTTTTTAAGCGCAAAATCCCCATTTGGATCCTGAAAATCTCTCTTTGAATCCATAGAATTTGTGTTGTAGCCTCAAAATTTCCCTTTGGAGCCCAAAATCCCCTTTTTGATCCCAAAAATTACTGAGAATTCCCGTTTTTCCGGCTCCCCAGAGCATGAATTGAATGAGTGCAAATGCAGCTATAACTGCTCCAAAATTCCCTTTTTTCCTCTCAAATTCCCACATTTTCAGGATAAAATCTCTGTTTCTATTCCAAAGTATCCCTTTAATTCCCAAAATCCACATTTTGATCCCAAAATTCCCTCAGAATTCCCAATTTCTCCCCAGAGCAGGAGTCCAACGAGCACAAATGCAACTACGAGCTGGAAAATCCCTAAAAATCCCCCTTTTTCCCCTCCCAAATCCATTTTTTTTCCCTCAAATCCCCCTTTGGACCCCAAAATCCACTTTTAACCCCCAAAATCTCCGTTTTGATCCCAAAATTCCCTCAGAATTCCCATTTTTTTAGCTCACCAGAGCAGGGATCCCAGGAGCAGAAATGCAACTATGAGCAGGGAGGCCCCCAAAATCCCCCTTTTGCTCCCCAAAATCCCCCTTTTCTCCCCCAGATCCAGCTTTTTGTAGCACAGAATCCTCATTTGATCCCTAAAATCCCCCTTTAAACCCCAAAATCCCTGTTTTGATCCCAAAATTCCCTCAGAAATCCCATTTTTCCAGCTCACCAGAGGAGGGATCCGACGGTCGCAAACGCAGCTGCAATCAGGAAGATCCCTAAAAATCCCTCTTTTTTTCCCCCCCAAATCCAATTTTTTTTCCCCCAAATCCCCCTTTGGACCCCAAAATCCACCTTTAACCCCCAAAATCCCCGTTTTGATCCCAAAATCCCCTCAGAATTCCCGTTTTTCAGCTCACCGGAGCAGGAGTCGGACGAGCGCAAATGTAACTACGAGCGGTACCGGGGCCTGGTGCAGAACGACTTCGCTGGCAGTGAGTCCCTTTTTCCCTGGTTTTTTTTTTTTTGGGAATTCCGGCCCCTCCGGCTGCCCTGGGGGTGGTTCCCGAGGGATTCAGGGAATGATTTGATCCCGGAATTCCCGATCCCAGTCTCGGAGGAGCAGTGCCTGTACCAGATCTACATCGATGAGCTCTACGGCGGCCTGCAGAAACCCAACGAGGATGAGAAGAAAAAGTGAGGGAAAAAAGTCGGAATTTCTGGGAATTTCGGGCGGGAAAACACCGGGAATGCAGCCCCACACCCTCGGGAATGATCCCAGTTCTGGGATAACCCCCCCAGTCCCAGTTTTCCCCTCACGCCTTTGCTGGGATCTCCCCCAAAACCGTCCTGGGAAGGGCTCCTGGTTTTGCTTGGGGTTCTGGCTTGGGAATTCCCATTTTCCCTCAGAATTCCCCCTCAGGCCTCCTGTTTTCTCTCAGAATTCCCATTTTCCCTCAGAATTCCACCTCAGGCCTCCCATTCTCCCTCAGAATTCCCATTTTCTCTCAGCATTCCACCTCAGAACTCCCATTTTCCCTCAGAATTTCCATTTTCCCTCAGAATTTCCATTTTCCCTCAGAATTTCCATTTTCCCTCAGAATTTCCATTTTCCCTCAGAATTTCCATTTTCCCTCAGAATTTCCATTTTCCCTCAGAATTTCCATTTTCCCTCAGAATTTCCATTTTCCCTCAGAATTTCCATTTTCCCTCAGAATTTCCATTTTCCCTCAGAATTTCCATTTTCCCTCAGAATTTCCATTTTCCCTCAGAATTTCCATTTTCCCTCAGAATTTCCATTTTCCCTCAGAATTTCCATTTTCCCTCAGAATTCCCGTTCTCCCTCAGAATTCCACCCCAGGCCTCCCTTTTTCCCTCAGAATTCCCCCTCAACCCTCCCATTCTCCCTCAGAATTCCCATTTTCTCTCAGCATTCCACCTCAGAACTCACATTTTCCCTCAGAATTCCCATTTTCCCTCAGAATTCCACCTCAGGCCTCCCATTCTCCCTCAGAATTCCCATTTTCCCTCAGAATTCCCATTTTCCCTCAGAATTCCCATTCTCCCTCAGAATTCCACCTCAGGCCTCCCATTCTCCCTCAGGCATCTCATTTTCCCTCAGAATTCCCCCTCAGAATTCCCATTCTCCGTCAGAATTCCCATTCTCCCTCAGAATTCCCATTTTCCCTCAGAATTCCACCTCAGGCCTCCCATTCTCCCTCAGGCATCTCATTTTCCCTCAGAATTCCCCCTCAGAATTCCCATTTTCCGTCAGAATTCCCATTCTCCCTCAGAATTCCCATTTTCCCTCAGAATTCCACCTCAGGCCTCCCATTCTCCCTCAGGCATCTCATTTTCCCTCAGAATTCCCCCTCAGAATTCCCATTTTCCCTCAGAATTCCCATTTTCCCTCAGAATTCCCATTCTCCCTCAGAATTCCACCTCAGGCCTCCCATTCTCCCTCAGGCATCTCATTTTCCCTCAGAATTCCCCCTCAGAATTCTCATTCTCCCTCAGAATTCCACCTCAGGACTCCCATTTTCCCTCAGAATTCCCATTCTCCCTCAGAATTCCACCTCAGGACTCCCATTTTCCCTCAGAATTCCTCCTCAGAACTCCCACTTTCCCTCAGAATTCCCATTTTCCCCTCCGAGGGAAATCCCCGGGGCGGCCTCTTCGGCCTCTCCTCATTCCCGAGGGAATCTCCTGGTGGGAAAAAGAACCCCAAAAAGCCCGGGATGGAGGGATTTGTGTCCCCAAACTCCCCAGGCTGGCGGAAAAAAAGGCTTCCATAGGCTACACCTACGAGGACAGCACCGTGGAGGAGCTGGAAAACTCCCTGGAAAAGCGAGCGGGGGACGAGGAGGACTCCGAGGAAGATTCCAACACGGACGAGGACGAAGTGATCCCGGATATCGGTAACGGGATATTCCCGGGTCTGGGGAACGGCGCTCGGGGCGCGTCGTTCCGGCCGGAATTCCAGGATTTTCCCGTTTTTTTTTCTTTCCCCAGATGTGGAAGTGGACGTGGATGAGCTGAACCAGGAGCAAGTGGCCGACCTGAACAAGCAGGCCACGACCTACGGCATGGCCGAGGGGGATTTCGTCAGGTAAATCCCGGGAAAAAACTTGGGAAAAGCCGGGATCCTCCCCCAAAACCATCCCGGGGAGGGGGGCTCCTGCTTTTCCTTGGGATTTTGCCTTAGAAATCCCGTTTTTCTTCAAGATTCTCTCCTAAAAATCACATTTTCCTTGGGATTTTGGCTCAAGAATCACATTTTTCCCTGGATTCTCCTGGGAACCCTGTTTTCCCTTGGGATTTTGGCTCGCAAATCCCATTTTTCTTGGGGATCCTCTCCTGGAAATCCCATTTTTCCTTGGGAATTCTCCTTTTTTTTCCCAGACTTATCCTTTTCCCTGAGGTTCTCCTGTGAAAATCCCATTCTTCCCTTGAAATTCTGCCTTAAAAAAATCTTATTTTCCCCTGAAATTCTGCCTCGGGGCTCCTCCTTTTCCTGGGAATTCCGGATCTCTCTGAAACCCCCACCCTGATCCCGCTTTTTTAATTTTTTCCCCTGGAAAAAGGATGCTGAGGAAGGACAAGGAAGAGGCCGAAGCCATCAAGAACGCCAAAGCCTTGGAGGAGGAGAAGGCCATGTACTCGGTGAGGGAAAAACCTGGGAAAAAAATGGGAATTTCCCCTTGGAAAAATCCAAAAAAAAAATCCAACCCTTCCCCCAGGGCCGCCGCTCCCGCCGGCAGCGCCGGGAATTCCGGGAGAAGCGGCTGAAGGGCCGGAAAATCAGCCCCCCCAGGTGAGATTCCCAACGTTTTCATCCCAAATCCCAACTTTTCCCCCCAATCCCAACTTCTTCCTCCCAAATCCCACCTTTTCCCCCCCAAATCCCGTTTTTTACCCTGAATTCCACCATTTTCCCCCCAAATCCCACCTTTTCCTTCACAAATCTCCCTAATTCCCCCCCCATCCCATTTTTACCCTGAGTTTCCCCCCAAATCCCATTTCTATCCCAAATCCCCTCTTTTTCCCCCACAAATTCCCATTTTCCCCCTCAAATCCCATTTCCACCTCAAATTCCCCCCCAAATCCCCAAATTCCCCCCCAAACCCCCATTTTTCCCCCCAAATCCCCATTTCTCCCCCTAAATCCCCATTTCTCCCCCTAAATCCCCATTTCTCCCCCTAAATCCCCATTTCTCCCCCTAAATCCCCATTTCTCCCCCTAAATCCCCATTTCTCCCCCTAAATCCCCATTTCTCCCCCTAAATCCCCATTTCTCCCCCTAAATCCCCATTTCTCCCCCTAAATCCCCATTTCTCCCCCTAAATCCCCATTTCTCCCCCTAAATCCCCATTTCTCCCCCTAAATCCCCATTTCTCCCCCTAAATCCCCATTTCTCCCCCTAAATCCCCATTTCTCCCCCTAAATCCCCATTTCTCCCCCTAAATCCCCATTTCTCCCCCTAAATCCCCATTTCTCCCCCTAAATCCCCATTTCTCCCCCTAAATCCCCATTTCTCCCCCTAAATCCCCATTTCTCCCCCTAAATCCCCATTTCTCCCCCTAAATCCCCATTTCTCCCCCTAAATCCCCATTTCTCCCCCTAAATCCCCATTTCTCCCCCTAAATCCCCATTTCTCCCCCTAAATCCCCATTTCTCCCCCTAAATCCCCATTTCTCCCCCTAAATCCCCATTTCTCCCCCTAAATCCCCATTTCTCCCCCTAAATCCCCATTTCTCCCCCTAAATCCCCATTTCTCCCCCTAAATCCCCATTTCTCCCCCTAAATCCCCATTTCTCCCCCTAAATCCCCATTTCTCCCCCTAAATCCCCATTTCTCCCCCTAAATCCCCATTTCTCCCCCTAAATCCCCATTTCTCCCCCTAAATCCCCATTTCTCCCCCTAAATCCCCATTTCTCCCCCTAAATCCCCATTTCTCCCCCTAAATCCCCATTTCTCCCCCTAAATCCCCATTTCTCCCCCTAAATCCCCATTTCTCCCCCTAAATCCCCATTTCTCCCCCTAAATCCCCATTTCTCCCCCTAAATCCCCATTTCTCCCCCTAAATCCCCATTTCTCCCCCTAAATCCCCATTTCTCCCCCTAAATCCCCATTTCTCCCCCTAAATCCCCATTTCTCCCCCTAAATCCCCATTTCTCCCCCTAAATCCCCATTTCTCCCCCTAAATCCCCATTTCTCCCCCTAAATCCCCATTTCTCCCCCTAAATCCCCATTTCTCCCCCTAAATCCCCATTTCTCCCCCTAAATCCCCATTTCTCCCCCTAAATCCCCATTTCTCCCCCTAAATCCCCATTTCTCCCCCTAAATCCCCATTTCTCCCCCTAAATCCCCATTTCTCCCCCTAAATCCCCATTTCTCCCCTCCAAATCCCCATTTTTCCCCCCAAATCCCCATTTCTCCCCCCCAAATCCCCATTTCTCCCCCTCAAATCCCACCTTTCCCCCTCCACAGCTACGCCCGCCGGGACAGCCCCACCTACGACCCCTACAAACGGTAACAACTCCGGGATTCCGGGGCCGCGATTCCCAAATCCCCGGGAAGCCCGGGAACGCCCTGACCCCCCTCCCCCGGCGGCAGCAGCTCCCCGTCGGAATCCAGCTCGGAATCGCGCTCCCGATCCCGGACCCCTTCCCCCGGCCACGAGGAGAAGATCACCTTCATCACCAGCTTCGGCGGCAGCGACGAGGAGGCGGCCGCCGCTTCCGACGCCGCCGCCGCTCCCGGGAAAAGCCGCAATTCCCGGGAACGGCAGCGCCAGGCGCAGCCGGGAGCCTCGGCGCCCGCTCATAGAGCCTCGTCCCGGTCGGTGCCTTCCCCTTTTTCCCCTCTTTTTCCCTTCATTTTCCCCTTTTTACCTTCATTTTCCCCTTTTTCCCTGAATTTTTCCCCTTTTTTCCTGAATTTTCCCCTTTTTACCTTCATTTTCCCCTTTTTACCTTCATTTTCCCCTTTTTTCCTGAATTTTCCCCTTTTTCCCTTCATTTTCCCCTTTTTACCTTCATTTTCCCCTTTTTTCCTGAATTTTCCCCCTTTTTTCCTGAATTTTCCCCCTTTTTTCCTGAATTTTCCCCTTTTTTCCTGAATTTTTCCCCTTTTTCCCTGAATTTTCCCCTTTTTACCTTCATTTTCCCCTTTTTACCTTCATTTTCCCCTTTTTTCCTGAATTTTCCCCCTTTTTACCTTCATTTTCCCCTTTTTTCCTGAATTTTCCCCTTTTTTCCTGAATTTTCCCCTTTTTTCCTGAATTTTCCCCTTTTTTCCTGAATTTTCCCCTTTTTTCCTGAATTTTCCCCTTTTTTCCTGAATTTTCCCCTTTTTTCCTGAATTTTTCCCATTTTTTCCTTAATTTTTTACCACTTTTTCCTTATTTTGTTTTTTCCTTAATTTTTCCTATTTTTTCCTTAATTTTTCCTATTTTTTCCTTATTTTCCCCCTTTTTTCCTGAATTTTTCCCCTTTTTTCCTGAATTTTCCCCTTTTTTCCTTGTTTTTCCCCTTTTTACCTTCATTTTCCCCTTTTTACCTTCATTTTCCCCTTTTTACCTTCATTTTCCCCTTTTTTCCTGAATTTTCCCCCTTTTTTCCTGAATTTTCCCCCTTTTTTCCTGAATTTTCCCCTTTTTTCCTGAATTTTTCCCCTTTTTCCCTGAATTTTCCCCTTTTTACCTTCATTTTCCCCTTTTTACCTTCATTTTCCCCTTTTTTCCTGAATTTTCCCCCTTTTTACCTTCATTTTCCCCTTTTTACCTTAATTTTCCCCTTTTTTCCTGAATTTTCCCCTTTTTTCCTGAATTTTCCCCTTTTTTCCTGAATTTTCCCCTTTTTTCCTGAATTTTCCCCTTTTTTCCTGAATTTTCCCCTTTTTTCCTGAATTTTCCCCTTTTTTCCTGAATTTTCCCCTTTTTTCCTGAATTTTCCCCTTTTTTCCTGAATTTTCCCCTTTTTTCCTGAATTTTTCCCATTTTTTCCTTAATTTTTTACCACTTTTTCCTTATTTTGTTTTTTCCTTAATTTTTCCTATTTTTTCCTTAATTTTTCCTATTTTTTCCTTATTTTCCCCCTTTTTTCCTGAATTTTTCCCATTTTTTCCTTAATTTTTTACCACTTTTTCCTTAATTTTTTTTGTTTTTTCCTTAATTTTTTCCCATTTTTTCCTTATTTTTTCTCCTTTTTTCCTTAATTTTTCCCATTTTTTCCTTAATTTTTCCTATTTTTTTCTTAATTTTTTCCCCTTTTTTCCTTATTTTTTTCCCGTTTTTTCCTCAACATTTCCCATTTTTTCCTCATTGTTCCTCTTTTTTTTTCCCTTGGCTTTCCCATTTTTTTCTTACCAAATTTTTTTCCTTGGGATTCCCTCTTTTTCCCCCAATTTTCTCCCATTTTTTCCCCAATTTTTCCCTATTTTCCCTCTATTTTTTCCCCATTTCTTTTATTTTTTCCCTTATTTTTTCCTCATCCTGCACATTTTTCCCCAATTTCCCTCAACTTTTCCCCCATTTTTTTTTCCTAATTTC